TTTTTTTCTAACTGGAAGTTTTCAGAATTTTCTTTTATTCTCAAGAGTATGAAATTTCAGAGATGAACCTGGGGAAAGGTAGTTGTTTTTCATTGTAGTGGGCAATCCATGAGCCCTTTTAACCTGCAAACTCATGTCTTTAAATACTGAGATTTTTTTTCTGTGAAGGCAGACCCATACAGATTCACTGTCAGTAACTCAGATTCCTTCTATTGCTAACACATTTCATGCTGTGAGACTCAGATATTTGCCACCCTTAACACATGCACAAATCTCATAAGGTTTTAAGGAGGTTTACAAATTTGTGTTGGGCTGCATTCAGAGCCGTCCTGGGCAGCATGTGGCCCGTGGGCTGTGGGTTGGAGAAGCTTGATCTAAAACATAGAAAGAACACTGACAACTCAAAAGTAAGAAAAACCACATCTTAAAATTGCCAAAATAGTTGAACCTATACTTCACCAAAGAAGATATTTCATTCCTAGGTATTTACCAAAAGAAAAATGAAAACACATCTATGCCTATGTTTGTAGAAGCTTAATTCATAACTCAAAACAGTAAACAATGCAAATGACCAATGAGATTAGTAACTTGCAATATCATCATATAATAGAGTATTATTAGCAATACAAAAAAATGACAAAAATTTTAAAAATATGCTGAATGAAAGAAGCTAGATGTAAAGGAACACAAACTTTATTACTCTACTTATATAAACTTAAAGAAGAAATAGTATGCTGATATATACAGTTGTGGTAAAAGAGATTTCAGATGGAGCTAATTGCCTGAGCAAAGGCAGAAAAGGAAAAAACCATGGAGCTTCTGGAAACAGTCGAAAGTTTGGTTTGATTGGTAAACAGGATGCAGACGGAAAGTTAGGTCATATCTTAAAGCCATTGAGCACAATGCTAAGGCATTTGCACTTTGTTCTCTTGATCATTATGAGTTATCAATAATTTCTGAGCTTCCTTATTGAAAACTGTGTTTCTTTTGTTGGCCAGAAATCTTGATTGCCAGAGAATAAAGAGATTATGCATTTAAAGGCCTTAGAATAGTATGTTTCACAGTGTACTTTCAATCATTGTTCTGAATGCTTATCTCATATGTTATGTTTATTGTCTGCCGTGGAAGGCTGAAAAATAGCCCAGCAAAGAAAGTTTAATTCATGTCCTAAACTCTGGAGCCTATAAATACATTACTTTACATAGTAAGAAGGACTCTGCAGATGTGACTAAATTAAGGATCTTGAGATGGGGAGATTATACTGAATTATCTGGATGAGTCCAATGTAATCCTAAAAGTTATTATAGGAGGAAGTCAGGTAAATCAGAGACACAGAGAAAATTATGTGATAGCAAAAACGCAGAGATACTTGGAGATACTATGCTGCTGACGCTGAAAATGCAGGAAGGAACCATGAGACAGGGGATGCAGGCAGACTTCAGAAGCTTGGAAGGGTAAGGAAACGTTCTTCCCTGAATAATCCAGATGGAATGAATCCTGCTGACACCTTGACTTTCACCCCATTAAGGCTTACACTGGACTCCAAAAAAGAATAAATTTATGTTGCTTTAAGCCATTATGTGGCATTCGCTAAGCAGCAATAGGAAACACACACAGCTTTGGGTATCTGAAACCATCACTCTTTCTGCCTCCTTTTCCCTTCATTTCCAAGACTGAACTTGGGAATCACCAGGAGCAGGACTATTATTCTTGTCTAATCTTGACCAGAGTCCATAAGGGAAAAAGCAAGATTGGAGAATAGGTGAGTTCAGTCATCAAGAGAAAGATTTTTCTGGCCTCAAATTATGACAATTCTGCTGTAACGAACACTAAAATTATGGAAGTAATTTGGATTTGGATAACCTGTAGAGAGACTGGAATAATTTTCAGGAATATGACAGAAGAGGCCTAACATCCTCGAATATGCTATTAGTGGAAATATGGGTGTTATGAGGGCTTGGAAGTAAGTGAGAGTATGGTAGAGAAAACTTACATTAGAGAAAATCTTTATACACCATAAACTGTAGAAATACAGATGTTAAAAGTGCTGCTGGTGAGGGCTCATAAAGAAATGAGAAACTTATTTTTTGAAACTAAAGGAAAGAGGGTTCTTTTTATACAGTGGTAGAAAGCTTAGATGGATTGTGTCCTAAAATTGTAAGAAAACAGAACTTTTAAGCAATGTATTTGTACAAAGTTTCCAAGCAGTGATGAAAATCTGACTTGGTTTATCACTGCTTTTAGAAAAATGAGATAGGAAAGGGATAAACTGAGAAAACTGTTAGAAAATACAAGGATTTGATGATTTGAGAAATTCTCAGCCTATTGAGATTGCAAAAGATGCCAAAGCTAAGAAATCCACTGTAAGGAAAGCATGCTCTGGTGAGAAAGCCAACAATGTGGCTGTACATCCTTCTATAAAGTTTTTGAATTTTAAATTGTGGTAAAATATATAGTATGAAATTTATTATCTTAACTATTTCTAAGTGTGGGTAGTCTTTTGCTACTGCTTAGGAAGTACTAAAGATTACAGTATTCAGTTACACATAGGGCTCTTTGAAGAGGCATGTGACTCACAAACCCCCTCAACCAATCTCAGCAGAAGTCCCAAGTAGAGACAGAATTATTCAGGAACCATCTGTTGAGGAACCTCTCTTTCAGTGGAGTGAATCCCTATAACCCACAATGTTTTGTTTTACCAACAGAAACACTGTCAAATTGGACTAAAAGAGACAGAGAAGACAAAATGAAAGAAGGCAATCGAGCTCCCTAAATTCTACCAGCAAGAAACAGACTGACAAAACTACTCAGTGACAGACATCAAAAAGGATGGCTCTGAGGGTAGAGCCCCAGGTACAGAGGACAGGTGCCAGAGCCACAGCTATTCCCAGGCTTTATAACCTGATGGAATTTGCACATGAGACTTTGAAAGGGATTGGGTGGTGTCTCCTTTCTGAATGAGAACATCTATGATTGCTACCCTAGTTCTGTCCCACTACTGTTTTAGAGCACAGATCTTGTTTCCTAGTTTCATAGGTCTTTAGATATAAAATTTAGCTTCAGAATCGATTACGCTCAGAGCTGCACCCATATCTAATTTAGATATGAGATTTTGAACTTTTTAGTTGATGAAGCTTAGATAAGACTTGGACTTGAGCTAATGCTGTAATGGGGTGAGATCTATGGGGACTTTAGGATAGATGAACGTATTTTTCAAGTGGAATGGATGAGTCTTTGGGGACAAGAGGGTGGACTATAGTAGGCTTAATGGCCTCCCCAAAGATGTCTACATCCTACTCCCTGAAGCCCATACATGTTACCTTACATAGTAAAAGAGATTTTACAGGACATACTCACAGAAAGACACAAACATCTGGATCAGAGAAACAATTTCTTATTCATAGCAAAAACAGCAGCCAGAGTAGTATTGTGTGTGTTCCCATGCTCCAATTCCTGTAACGTAATACAGTAAGGGCCAGGTGTTACCTCTGAATGCAGTGAACTGCACTACAGAAGAGGAGCCCCACATTTTAATAGTTTCTGCGTTTTTATGGAACTGCTGACGTGTCTCTGCATCTTCTCCAGATATTACTCATTATTTCTGCAATGCAGGCAAATTCCCTTCCTAGTGTGAGAAAAGAGAAGGCTTAACTTTACTTCCCCGGGATGTCTCTAGGGGAGGTGCTATCTCTAGCTTCACTATCCAGGAATGTTTCCTTTATACATCCTTAATTTAAAAGTGAACACGGTCAAACGAGGGATTCAGACTGTGCAGAAATATGAGCTACTCACAGAAAATGATTTTTCAACACTTTATTTCAAGCATCAAAAAAAGAAAACAATCAATTACCTTCAATAGAATAGGAAATCTGAAAAATCAAATATTACAAGGCTAGGCATGATAGCAGATGGAAAGGAACCACTACCCTGTAAGATTTTAATGAGAAAGACCATGCCAAAATAGTATCATCCAGCAAAGGAAGGAGTACACAGAGAGGCAGAAGTTGAAATTAGTTTGAAGACTATATATTACACAATATACATTGCTTAAGCATCCACAACAATGTGAAGAAGCAGCATCAATGCCTTTCTGGATGCTTACAGAAGTTATGTCAAAATCAAATTTTTTCTTTCTTTTTTGAGATCGAGTCTCACTCTGTCACCCAGGCTTGAGTGCAGTGGCGCAATCTTGGCTCACTGCAAACTCCGCCTCCTGGGTTCAAGTGATTCTCTTGCCTCAGCCTCCCAGGTAGCTGGGATTACAGGGGCCCATCACCACGTCCAGCTAATTTCTGTATTTTTAGTAAAGACAGGGTTTCACCAGGTTGGCCAGGCTGGTCTCAAACTCCTGACCTCAGGTGATCTGCCCGCCTCAGCCTCCCAAAGTGCTGGGATTACAGGCGTGAGCCACTGCCCCCGGCCCCAAAATCAATTTCAAAAAGTAAAAAAGGCAAAGAAACTTGCCACATATTTATTAATTATTACTGGAAATAACTGCAAATTAGAGATGTTAGGTATTATTGATTCATTTATTTTTTAGTAAATGGATATTGAATATGAACTATGTATCATGCAAATGGACACCATCTCCCCAACTATGGAAGGATAGTAATCAAATAATTATGAATTACATATTCCAGGGTAGCAGAATGATAGTAATAAAAATTATTACAAATTATGTACTACAAGAAAAACAAAGAAATAAAAGGAATAATGGAGGATTTACCCTAAGGTGGTTAGGAAAGTTTCTCAAGGGAAGTGACATTTAATTTTTTTGAGACAGGGTTTCTCTGTTGCTCAGGCTGGACTGCAGTGGTACAATCACAGATGACTGCAACTTCAAACTCCTGAGCTTGAGCAACCTCTTGCCTCACCCTCCCGAGTAGCTGGGACTACAGGTATGCAACAACACACCACGCTTATTTTTAAAAATTTTTTAGCAGAAACAAGGTCTCACTATGTTGTCCAGGCTGGTCTTGAACTCCTGGGCTCAAGTGATCCTTCTGCCCTGGCCTGCCAAAGTGCTGGGATTACAGATCTGAGCCACATGCCTAGTGAGGGGAGAGTAACATTTAATCCAGACTTATTCTAAGAATTTAAAATAGTGACCGGAGTGTGTTTTAAAACCTAACTCAGATCATCTCTCTCCTTTGCTTAAACACTTCAACTGTTCTCTATTCCATTGACAAAAGCCAGAGGCCCAATAAGAGTCTACAGAATCCTTCGTGGTTTGGTTTCCCAGTACTTGTTACTACTCTTTCCATAGCACTTAAGAGCTTCTAAATATTATAAAGCTTATTTATTATGTTTATTGTCAATTTCTCTTTAGTGGGATATAAAATCCACTAGGGAATTATCTGTTTTGTTCACTTTTGTATCCCAAATGTCTCTGGAATAATTCCTGGCCTCTAACAGAAATTCATTAATTTTTTTTTTTCAGTGACATAAAATAATTTTATTAAATATAACAAAAATTAAAGCATAAGTATCACATACAATGTTATAGTCCCATTTAAATATAATATAGAATAATACTACAAAATAACAAATACAAAAACAAAAACTAGGTAAGACTTTATTTACTATGATAGTTGTGCTTGCCTGTTCATAAGTTCATTCCAGTCTGGAACACAGGAAGATAATGCTACACGCATAGCTGCTGTACCATTCAGCCCATTTCTTTCCTTTGTTTTTAACTGGGTGAAGATAGAAAACCCTAGTTCACACAAACTAGTAGTTGTGAATGGTAGTAATAGCAGGACACTCTTTCTACTTAACAATGGAAAGTCTTCCTTTACCTTAATCCAAAATGCTGATAAACTTAAGGTCTCATAATCATTCTTCAATGTATATGAAGAATTAAGCTGTAATAATTCATTCTCTTCTTCAGGCACCAAGTTTAGCTCAATTATTGATTCAGGGCTTCGAAAAGCAAATGGATCTTTTACCCAGCTGTTTTCCCTTAATGTTTCAAATTTTTCTTCTGGAAAAAAGTGGTTAAAAGTTTGAGATAGAGAAGTGAGATGTAACAATATCTCTAATTTCATTTCTTTCAAAATGTTTTCATTAATAATATTCTCTTCGATATGTTGCAAAAATCTTGGAAACATGTAGTAGCTAGGACGATTACTTTTGAGTCTTGCTTGCCATAACAATAATGTCTTGCGAAATCCCTGGATATGTTCGACGTGTTGGAATACATCACTGTTTTTCCCCTGTAGTTTTAAACTCAGTTCATTAAGAATGCTAAAAATATCAGTTAAATATGCCAATTTTGTTACCCAAATATCATCTTCAAAAATATTTGCCAAATAAGATTTTTTTTCAATGAGACAGAAGTGAATCTCATTCCTGAGCTCATAAACCCTGCTTAGTATTTTCCCTTGAGACAACCAACGAACTTTGGTATGATATAGTAAGTGGGTATGATTAGTTCCAATCTCTGAACAAAATTTTTCAAGAAGCCGGCTATTCAGTGAGCTTCCTTTAATAAAATTAACAACTTTCACTGCATTTTTCAATACTTCCATGAGATTCTGTGGAATTTCTCTGGATGCTAAACCTTCACGATGTATAAAACAATGATTCCAAACAGTACCATTATTAGTAACTTCTAGCAATTCTTCAATTACTCTGCTATGCTTTCCAGTTACGGTTGCTGTGCCATCACTTGTAATTCCTTTACAGTTTTTCCAGTTTAACTTATATTGGCCAACTATGCGCCTTTCTAATTCTGTAAAAATATCTAATCCACTTAGGTGTGAGGTTAAACTTAAAAAACACAAAAAATCCTCCATAAAATCATCTTGCCATGCATATCTGACATAAACAAAAAGTGTCGTGCAGCTTTCAATATCAGTGCTTTCATCAAGCTGGATTGCAAAATCTATACCAGACTGTAACCGAGTAATAAGCATTGCTTCTAAATGTTCTGCAATAGTACAAATTCGAAGCGATATTGTGTTATCATTAGGTATAGTTTTTAATTTATCAGCTGATTTATCATCAAATATTGTACGTACCATATCCAAACATGCTGGAAGAATAATTTTTTCAGCAGCTGTGTTAGCTATTTCTTCTTTTGCCACACGATATGCAACTAAATATGATGATAATAAGGCTTTCTCACTAATGGTAGAACTAAGAAACTGTGTTGATAATTTTATGTCTTTTTTCTTCCTTTGAAAATATTCAAGAGGCTTATCAATAAGTTCAGCATGCTGAGTTTCTAAGTGCCTTTTTAATTTTGAAGGTTTTAAGCTTTCATTCGCAAGAATGTTATTACAAATAACACACTGAGGTCTGTCAGTTTCAAACGGTTTTTCACATCTGATAAAGCCATATTTTAAGTAATCTTCATTATAACGTCTCGCACTTACTTTTTTCTTTTTGAAATGTGGCTCAAATGAAGTTGAAATTTGCAGATTAGAATCAGTATTTTTCTCAATATTGCCACTATTCACAATTCCATATTCAACAGATGAATTCGAACATGCTTCTGCATATTTCACTTCACTATTCCTCTTTCTTTTAATAAAGAAATGATCCATTCTAATAACAATTTGTTTCAGTTTGATTAAAATGTTGTAATTGGCACTAACTCAAAAAAGAAGAAAAAAATATAGAGTCTAAATAACATATTTTCAAAACTACACTCAAAGTTTGCAACTGAATCTCAGTTGAGTATTTCAGACTTCACAACTAGTTGCAAGTCACTATAATATAAAACTTGACTATGCATTAACCTTGCTATTATGAAAATCAAGCACGACACCCAGGAGCAAATGCCCGAAAATCATTTCTTGGCTAATATACATTCTATCCATCCTATCCCCTCCATCAAATACCTTTCTCACAAATTGAAATTGACCTCAGCATTCCTTGCAGTGTGCACAATTCAGGCAAAGGATTCATGCAAAACACTTTAATGTTTTACATTTTATTTTGTTTTTGTTTTTTTTAAATATTCATTATGACTCACAGAATTGCTTTCACGCCTCACTAATGGGTCTCACACATATTGTGAAAAATACTGATATAGAGACATTTTGTGCCCTTTGCTGTGCTGGTACCTTGAGTATGTCTGCTTGATGATGAAAGAATCTAGCTGATCCGCTAAACTGTTGACTTGTGTCTGAACATCTTCAAGTAGTGGAAATTTATCTTAGATTTCCATTCCTTAATCATATTTATGGTCTGATCTAGTAAGGAGCCAGTGAGGTTTTCCATGGCTAGGTCAAATAACAGGTTGGAGCTGATGATATATTTTTATGGAACTTTCCTGGGAATGCATTCTTGACCTGGGAATAAGATGAGAGATAAAACATGAAAGTATCACAGTACAAAGTAATATTATTGCCAGCTATGGGGGTCTTTATGATATCTAAGATCATGGACGGTGAGGCAAAAAGTCTGTAACTCTCTCTGTCATTATCTTATATTGGCTTAGGCCTATTTCCATAAGGCAAACCACTTCAGTCAAGATTGGTAAACAGAAAAATAGTGACAGTAAAACTCAAAAGTTGGCATCAGGAGTTGGAAAGTATATTAACAAAACTGAATACAGCAAGGCATGAAGGAGTATAGCTTATTCACCATACATATTTCCTTTTTGCTTGGCCACACCTATCTTGGTCATGCCTGCCTTGGTATTACTGCACTGCTTTCTTGGATCATAGTGTACTTCAGTCTTACGGTCGTAACAGTAGTTCCAACCCTTCCTTATCCACCTTTTCCATCAAATTATCTCGAGTTTTTTGGAAGAGGGGCAGTCTTACATTTACTGTAGTGTTTATTTATTAAAAATTCAACATGTCTTAACTATGTTAATACTACATCTTTATTAGGACTATTTGTATTAACTGTATTTTCTTATTTTTCTATAGTTAATGCTCTGCTATCTGGGTGGGTCCTTGATGACTGGGGAGGTACTACCTCTACCAGGGTTAGCTAATTCCTATGCAAACTAACCAATCCAAAACCCCCACACCTATACTCACACCCAACACAGACATCTTGAGTTTTTATACTCCAGGCCAATATTGATTGCCCTGTCACTCCAGGACCAGCTACCAGGCAACTAGGGATATCCCCTATGTCCTAAGTCAGCCAAAATTATTTAAACCAGTCAATTTTAACCCTGTTCAAGCCCACTTATCCAGTTTTGCCCATTACCTCTTTAAAAAAGCAAATAAAGGCTTTCCTGCAGTTTCCTTGTACTTCCTCTCCCCACTGACCCTGTTGCTTCTAGGTATGGCACCCTTGCATGGTGTAAGGTGCTATGCTTCCTGTTTCTAAGGATACATGAGTATAAAAATTTCTTCTTTCATGACAGTCATTTTTACACCTGCATATTTCACCATATTTGAGTAAATTAAATCCTGAGTACATTTTAAAACACTGTTATTTTGTGGTACTGCTCTAGTTACAAAGTTGTATAGTTTGGCACTAAACCTCTTTTTCTTGATCAGGTATTTTACCTTTTAATACAATTATTATGCAGACCATGAGTTCTTCTAGGAAGTCAAAATCTTAAATGCCTTAACAATGGTTAAATAGCTACAGATTTATTATATATGGTAGCTGGTTGTACCTTAAAAGGTATGCATCTGGGAGAGAATTCAGGACCTGGTAGGTGCCTTTGACTTAATCTTGGTTAGATGCTTCCTTGAAAGATGACATGCTGGCCCGGCACAGTGGCTCACACCTGCAATCCCAGGACTTTGGGGGGCCAAGGTGGACAGATCACCTGAGGTCAGGAGATCGAGACCAGCCTAGCCAACATAGCGAAACCCCCATCTCTACTAAAAATTAAAAATTAGCCAGGTATGGTGGTATGCACCTATAGTCCCAGCTACTCAGGAGGCTGAGGCAGGAGAATCACTTGAACCAGGGAGAAAGAAGTTGCAGGAGCTGGGATCGTGCCACTGCACTCCAGTCTGGGTGACACAGTGTGACTCTGCCCTCCCGCCCCCCCCCCCCCCCCCCCCACAAAAAGAAAGATGACGTGTTACAAATACTTAACCTTGGTTGGAAAGACACAAAGCTCTTCTTAGGAAGTTTTATGTCCTATGCCAAGGTTATTAGCAGGACTAAAGGGTTTATGGGAAATGCCTCTTGGAAGTCCCAGTACAGTGAGTGGTCAACAACATATTAGACCAGAACTACACTGCTGAAGGTAAATGATCTAGATCTCTTTTTAATACATAAGAAAAGTTGAAGGGCAATATACAGAGCCTTGAAACAATCTAAACAAGATAAACAGATGCCTGGAAGAGAATATCAACACTTCCTTTCATAGTTAAAAGTTCATATAAGGATGCTAGTATATTTTAATACTTCAACTCTCCCCCAAGAAACCTCAAACTACTACAATTTTGTCCTTCTGCTATCTCTCCCTAAATATTTACCACATGTAGCTCAAGAAAAACAATACTAAACAAAATGTGCTACGAAGTCTTTTGTTTGACTTTATTTACTTACATCTCTGAAACCAACCTTAATGAAAAGCCAGAGGAACTCTGGGGAGAAGTTCAAACCTGAGGTTCTGGCCTAATCGTTAAGTTCTCAAACTTTAATGTAAACCGACATGTTCAATTAGTACTCAATGTAAATCAGAACATGTTCATACTTGAACACAATGAAGTATACCAGTGTGATTCCATAACCCAGATGAGTTCTGCTGGCCAAAACACCAAAGACCTACAAATGTATACACTGATGCTTAAGAATGTGTACACTGAAACTGGCTCCTGTGGCTACATGGCCAAATTTCCAAGTAATAACACTCGTTATTCAGATATCCATCTACTTGGCCTCCCTTAAGGAAGAGTTCCAATTAGGGTAACCAAATATTTGTAGTGGAAAGTTTCTTATACACCAAGGTGTATTAACACAGTCATATGATCTGGTTTCAGGTTAGTGATTTCCCATTAATAAATCTTACCTACCTATTCCTAGAATAGTGCTTATTGTATGGTAGTTTCTCAACGTCTTTGAAAGAATGAGAAAATTAGTGATACCTGTAGTAAACTGTACAACGCACATTCTATTTTTATCACAGTGGATAAAAAATAAGTTACCCAACTATATTTGGACAATTTGGAATTATATAAGACAAAGGCTAATACAACATATTATTTAAAATAGGACTATCAAAGATTCTATTTTCCATGTTAAGAAATAGTAGAAGGAGGCTGAGACAGGAGAATTGCCTGAACCCAGGAGGCGGAGGTTGTGGTGAGCCGAGATCGCACCATTGCACTCCAGCCTGGGTAACAAGAGTGAAACTCCGTCTCAAAAAAAAAAAAAAAAAAAAAAAGTAGAAACAATGATCCTATAAAAACATACGTGTAAATTTAGATTTAGCTTTTAAAGCTTGGAACCTAAATCTACCTGAAAACAAAAAACATTAAAAAAAAGTATCCTATTTTTATATTACTATATACAGATCATTATTCTCTTAGAAGCAATTGTCTTTTAACCTTTCTGTTCTTTCATATTCTTACTATTCATGTTTCAATCCCCCTTTGAAAGTTTGTAACACTAGTTCAGTCACTATTGTTTTAAAAAGGTTTTTTTAAAGGGTTTACTCTCCCTCCTAAATCAGACAGTTCACCTATAGTAATAGCAGTGGCAGTATATTAGGGAACAGATCTGGTAGATGTGATGATGAAAGCATGGGGACGTTCTTTTTTAACAGAATTGGATGCAAGGTATCAGCTAAGTGAGAGGCCGAAGTAGAAAATGTTGCAAGTTTGACAGAAGAAAATATGAAATATTAATAATTGTTTAGAAATGTGATAATATAGATTAGGAAAATGTTTTAGGATTTTTAGTCTGGCTGGTTGTCTTACGTGCTTAATGCAATGACTGTTATTATTTTAATGTTTGATAGTCTTGAATTCCCTGTCAATAATCTTCTATATCCTAAGATACATCTCTAGTGTATCATCTTCTGAAAATACATCTTCTGAAAATACAACTCTCATCAGTTTCTCATAATTGGAAAAGCATTTAATGGCACTCAACAACTCTTCAGGATAATATACCTCAAGCTCAAGCTTCATCTTTCCAGGCTTCTCCTTCATCACATGATCTCCATACATTCTACATTTCAGTACGAAAAGTATGAAAATTCTTGAAACAGTTCATGCACTTTCATGTCTCTGCTTTTGGCTAGTATTCCCTTTGCCTGGAATATTCCTGCTGGGTCATATGAAGTCCTATTCATTCTTTTTTGCTTAGTTCAAATGCTAAAGCAGTCATACATTCAACTAACATTTAGCTACCTACCCTACCTAAAGAATGTCAGGCACTGAGGATCCCAAACAATGGACAATGACATATTAAATTCACAGAATATCCGTTCAGCTATTAAGATGAATGAGGTGGAGTTACACAACACTGACAAATCTTAAAAACATTAAGTAAAACAAGCTAGTTGCAAAAATATATATATATATATACACACACATATTACTGATTGCTTGATGGTAGGGAGAGTGGTTTCCTTGGGCAAAAGGGAAGAGAATGAGATGGGGTACAGCTGACGAACGATTTCAGTCACTTACATAATCATTTATTTCTCCAATTCACTGGTGAGTACATATGTATTATAATTTTGCTTCTACCTTTCGTCTGTCTAAAGGATTAAAAAGAGGATGTAATACCTTTTTTTAATCCTTTAGACAGACGAATGGTAGAAACAAAATACACTGTAAATCTGCCACACAGCCACTAACTTTAAATTACCTTCCATCTCTTGCACTTCCTTCCCTTTGTTTCCTGTTTTGACATTACGCACACGAGTTACTAGGCCTAGAGTGGAAACTACCAGGTGCCAGCTTTAGCTAGATTAAAACATGACCCTCTTCCTATGAGATTTCTGACCGGTTTCCTCCCGTCCTCCATGGCGCCAACTAGAATTTCAAAAAAACTTCGGCCTGAACCCTGGGCCGACCCTAGAATGACCGCCTTTCAGGCCCGGATGGCTGCCGCTCTCACCTTCCTTCAATTCACACCGGGGGCAAAACCAAGACCATATTTCCCTGCAACGAACCCTAGAATGCTTCGCTTTGGCGGACTCCGGTCCACTCCCACCAAAGGTTGCCCTTCTTTCGCCTCACCTCCAGCCTAGCTGCCGCGACCCGGCCGAGCCCGAGGCCGCAAGCTTCAGGTCTCTCCAGCGAAGCTGCAGCTCCGATCCCCCCTCATTCTCTCCGCAACACCACTTCCGGCCTACCTCACAAATTCCACAGTTCGGCCGGAAAACACTGGATCGGCCCTCTGCGCAGGCGTGAAACCAGCGCGGTGTCGGGAGGTGCCTGTTCCAGTTTTCCGCCTCCCTACTCTCTGCCAGCAGTCTCGCGAGATTTCCTCCTCTCGCGGGAGTTATTTGAACGCCAGGGCGGTAACGACCCGCTAGGCGCCTGAGGCCCCCTGACTAGAAACTCGGGGAATACTCCGCGGAGAGCTCTGTGTCTGGGCTGGCGCCCTGGCAGGCTGTAGCCAAGCGGGGGCAGGGCTCGTCTCGACAGAATCCCAGAGCCATGAGAGCGAAAAGAGACTGCTGCGGATTAAGGAGACCTGCTGGTGGTGGCTCCTGCCGCGGGGTAAGCGCTTCCGGTCCTCGCCCGCGCCAGCGTCGGCCCTGCGGGGCCAGGGCTCGAGTTCGGAAACCCCAAGGTGATTTTCACAGACTTTGTGGAAGAATTATACAGAGTTTCGAACTTTGATATTATTTCACCTGTTTATTTATTTAGAGACTCATCTTGTATTTAATAAGCATAGTAGTCCTGTGCTACTCCTTGGGTTAGCACGTCATTGATTTTTAACATAAACCTGCATTTTATTAGATTTAAATATGTATATTTTTGTCCTCTTTAAGATTATAACAAAGCACAGTTTTTGATCATTAACAAGATAGGTCCGTGCAAATAGGTGCATCTGTGTCACAAATGAAATATTTTTCTGTATATATGATATGTAATATATATATCATATATATATTATATATGTCATATAATGTATCGACGTGTTATATGATATATATGTGATATATATAATATATTATATACCATTATATATCATCTATATCACATATATATCATGTTTATTTTCTATATACTGAGTAAAATTTAGATGCTTGATTAGGTTCAAATTTGACTGCTTGCACGTGGGGGCAAAATACTTCTTATGTGGTAGTTTGTAAACATCCTATTGCATCATATCAGGAGGTGAAAGGCTTCAGTAATATTTTTGAAACAGTGTCCTAATATATATAAATTAAGGATTATAGAGCAGTAATATACAATTTCCATAAGCCATGTTCCTCTATAGTCATATCTCTTCTAGCCTCCTCTTTGTTTTTAGATGGAGTCCAGAAAGTTAAGTATTTGCCAAAGGTCAGACAGCTAATTTATTTATTTATTTTTGTGTGTGTGTGTATTTGGCTTCTTTTTTTTTTTATTGCATTTTAGGTTTTGGGGTACATGTGAAGAACATGCAAGATTGTTGCATAGGTACACACATGGCAGTGTGATTTTAATAGTAAAAGTAGGGCTCTTTTTCACTCACCTCTCACCCCTTTTAAAATTTTGTCTCATAAGCTTTTATTATCTGTGCATCAGAAAGAATTCTGTTTGAGGTGGTCAGAATGGCATTTCTGCCTATTCAACTAGAAAAGGAGTTTTGACTGGGCACGGTGGCTCACGCCTGTAATCTCAGCACTTTCGGAGGCCGAGGTGGGTGGATCATCAGAGGTCAGGAGTTCGAGACCAGCCTAGCTAACATAGTGAAACCCTGTTTCTACTAAAAATACAAAAAATTAGCTGGGCATGGTGGTGCACACCTGTAATCCTAGCTACTCGGGAGGCTGAGGCAGGAGAGTCCTTTGAACCCAGGAGGCGGAGGTTGCAGTGAGTCGAGTCGCGCCTTTTATCTCCAGCCTGGGCAATGAGCAAAATTCGGTCTCAAAAAAACCAACAGAAGTTTTGTGACTGAGAAGTTAAGACATAATGAAAGTTCAACTCCTTGAGTGGTTCTGTTTTTTGCACTGCCTATATGGTAGCCAAGACTTGAGTTTGAAAGCAGTAGTTAGAGAGGTTAGATAGATCTAAGCCTGAAGCCTTGTAAATTGAGGATAGAAAGAATGCAGGAAAATCTTTATAGGCTGTAATAGTTGGTCATTTGCTCCTAAATAAATTTTATTTGCGGTATTTATTCACCTCATTTTAAAATAGTATGCTTTGCTTCCCATGTTAATTTCTACTTATTGTCTTATGTTAACTGTAAATTAATCTTATTGTGAAGAAAATGAGTTATGGAACAAAATATGGGAAGTGAAAACTAGAAGGAGGTAGCTTTCCATTATAAGTTACGTGACTTAACAAATAAAATCGATGTGGAAAAATCTTCTACAAGCCTGGTTATACTTCACAGAAATACCTTACAGTTGCTTCATCTGTTTGATGTGTAAAGTGGTCTGTAGTGGAAGGCCTACTGCTTTTTTTTTCCTGTGCTTCCTAGTGAACTGATGGGAATTTGTGCAAACAATGATTGTAGGTATATGACGAATTAATTTATCATTAAAAGCCATAACTTTGATAATCTAACATGATAGAAATGAGTTGATAAGGAGAAAGGAAGGTTATATGATTTAAATAAAAGTTTCATGAATAATAACTTCATTTCGTAAGGAAAAAAGTTATGATTACATATAAATTCACTGATATTTAAATGTAAAATGGAGAAATAATCCCAAATAAATACAATATAAATAAAAATTGGGGAACATTTTTATTTATTTAATGTGATGAGTGTGTTGTGTATTCATAAGTTCATTCTGGTTTGGAATCTCAAGTGCAATTCTAACTTATCTGGTACACTGTTAACTCTGTTTCTTTGTTTTTTTATGGGTTAAGAATTAAAAGTACCAATAGCAGTACTGCATTCATTCTGCTTAGCAATGAACAGTCCTGTTTCCTCCGAAAGAATGATACATCATTGTGACATAGGGCTAGAGAGTTTAAAAAGAAAAAAAAAAGATGCATATGATGTTCCATAATCATTCTTTAATATTTACAAAGAAGTAAGCTACACTATTTTATACTCTTCAGGCACCAAGTATAACTCAGTTTTTGATTCAGAGTGTTGGAAAACAAATCTATCCAGTTATTTTCTTGAATGCATCACATTTTCTGGCATGTAATGGTTAAAAGTTTGAGACAGGCCAGAAACAGTAAAAAAATGCATAAAATATATAAAACAATGTTTTTTAAGATATTGGATATCAGGCAATAAAGGAAAGTGAAACTTGATCACTAGGAAAAAAAGTGAGTCCTATGATTGCCTCAGTTTATTGCCTTGAGAGAATTTCTAAGCCATAGTACAGGGAGAAGAGAACATATGCAGCCTGGTAGAATCCCTCTGTTGATTGAGCCCAGAGCCTGGTGAGTCCCTTGCAGTCAGAGTTTGCTAGAAGGAAGAGAGCTGCATGGAAAGAGAATTCTGGTGATCTGGAACTAATCTCTCCTGATTTTTCAGGTAAGTATTGATCACTGCATGCGTGTGAGGGAATGGCCTGAGGCCAAGGAAAGGATCGTCCAAAAATATTATGGTACAGTCTTGGATCACATAAAGACATTTTGTTCAATGATAGACTGCATATGATTATAATGGAGCTGAAAAATTCCTACCACCTAGTGATGTCATAGCTATTAATCATGATGTTTTGTGTGTCTGTGGTGATGCTGGTCTGCTGTCTTGCTGATACTATTTATTATTATCATCATTTTTTTTTTTTCGAGATGAGCTCTCACTCTCTTGTCCAGGGTGGAATGCCTTAGTACAATCTTGGCTTACTGTAGCCTTGACCTTCCGAGTTTAGGTGATCCTCCCACCTCAGCCTCCCAAGTAGCTGGGACTACAGGTATGCACCACCATGCCCGGCTAGTTTTTTGTACTTTTTTTTTTTTTTTTTTTTTAGAGACGGCATTTCGCCATGTTGCCCAGGCTGGTCTCAAACTCCTGGGTTTAAAAGATCCACCTACCTCAGCCTGCTGGGATTACAGGTGTGAGCCATTGCACCTGCCCTATCATTATTTTAGAGTATATTTTTCTACTTACATATATATTTTAAAAGTTAACCCTAAAACAACTTTAGGCAGATTCTTCAAATTATTACAGACAAAGGCATTGTTATCACAGATGACAACTTTGTGCATGTTATTGCCCTTGAAGACCTTCCAGTGGGACAAAATTTGAAAGTGAAAGACAGTGATATTGCTGATTGTGACCCTGGGTAGGTCTAAGCTAATGTGTATGTATTTGTGTCTTGTAAAAAAAATTAATAAAGCTTATAAAATAAGGAAATAAAAAATATTTTTGTACCACTGTACATGTATTTTAAGCTAAGTGTTATTACAAGAGAGTCAAAAGGTCAAAAAAATGTAAAAGTATATGAAATAATTTACTGTTGAAGAAAAGCATTTAAAAAATAAATTTAATGTATTTAAGCCTAAGTGTGCAGTATTTATAAAGTCTACAGTAGTGTTATAATAATGTTCTAGGCCTTCACATTCACTCACCACTCACTGACTTACCCAGAACAACTAAGAGTCCTGCAAGCTCCATTCATGGTAAGTGTCCTTTACAGGTATATCATTTTATCTTTCATACTGTATTTTTACTATACCTTTTCTATGTTTAGATACAAACATATCATTGTGCTACAGATTCAGTACAGTAATTGAATGCTGTACAGGTGTGTAGCCTAGAAGCAATAGGCAGTGCTGTATAGCCTAGATGTGTAGTTGGCTGTTTTGTCTGGGTTTGTGTAAGTACTCTATGATGTTCACATAATGATGAAATTACCTAAAGGTGCATTTCTTAGAACATGTCTCTCTTGTTAAGCCACACATGACTGTAATTGTGTCGTGCTCAGAGACTGCTGGGAATGGCCACTGTTTTGACAAGACAGACTGGAAAGCCTCATCACTCATGGAGCTTTGGGTAGAGTACATAGAATGGGTCTTGCCTCAGTTTTGGGAAACAATTAGCCCTAGACTGAACACTGTCCCTGTCTTGCCTAAGAAGTGTTTAAAGCAGGGCCTGAAAGCATCAAACTATTTCTAAGTAGGTTACCTGTATTCTAGAACAAAACTTAAGAAGATTCATAGGAAAACAAACATCCAGCACCTAGAAAAGTAAAATCCACAGTGTCGTCTCCAAACTAGCAAAGATGCAAATAAGCAGGAAAAAAGGACCAATAATGAGACAAAAAGTGACATGTTAGAATTCAGACAGTATTCCCTATGTTCAAAAAGTTAAGTAGGG